CTCGCTGATAGAAAGCGTAATACATCTTATTAGATTAACATAGATATTCATCGGTTTTTGTTTTGTTTTTGTTTTGTTTTGTTTCCAAAAAGTTTTTATTTCATTCTGTAGTTAACTCATTGAATCAGAAATGTACGAAAAATTTACAAACCTTCTTCCGAATAAAATACTTCTGCAAAGCATGTCTGCCACGAAACTGTAACTAGAAGTACAATTTCTATAAACATTTTCACAAAACATAAACTTCGTCGTACAAACAAGTGAACTGTACACTTCCACAAATAAACTTTGAGAGTTACTTATGAAACCGAAAGTACACCGATTTATGACGTAATTATTTTAATAGCAATGTGATGATTTATCATATGACTAGTGCATGCATTGTTTGAGTTTGTCGTTGTTACATGTTAAAAAGAAACCGGTGTATCTTAAACGTCCATATATGTTTAAATTGTAGAATTAACCTACTACTTCTTATGAAGAACGAAATGGCATATGAACAAAACCATTGCTCTAAGATGTTATAATATAATTTGCATGTAGTTAGTACATTAATGCATATGTCGATATTAAATTTTATACATGTTTTTTTGTCAATGAAGCTTGATATAAATAGCATGCGTGGACCCATAATGTGGTTCATGGTGGGTATGCATGGACCATTCTTAGACTTTGAAACTCGACTGAAAATTAGAAACACAAATAAAAAACTTGTTAAAACCACTCAAAATGTCTCGTGACACTTTTTGTAAACCAATTAAGTAAAGTACCCCCCCCCCCACCCCTGTAATATGCATATATCCAGGCCTTATAGACGTTATCTACTGGTGACGTTATAAACTGTTTTTAAGTAAGAGCTCCATACATTTCCTTGTAATAAATTAAAAGATTACACGTTCCATTTAATCAAACAGTTTTACCTACCACACAAGGTCTCCATTTACCAAAATACAGATCGATTTAATACATATTCATATCTTTTGTAGCGTTTGGTTGAACGCCACAACTATACAGTGAACGGCAATTATTACATGCTTGTCGGTGGTTTATAGAAATATATCAGTGATATAAAACTGGTAATTTCACTGTTTGAAACAGTGAAATTACCACTTTGATAATTTCACTGTTTTGAATTTAAGCCCCTTACGTTGTTTCAGTGAAATAACAGCGTGCACAGTACTGGGTACCAACTTAATGACGTGACGTCGTAAATGACGTCACGTTGTATTATTATCTGGCGCGCTTTTCATTCAGTATTAGGTTTAATGTCTTTTTAAAACGTTTCTTTGCATATAATAAAAAGAAAATTTGTTTAGTTTAGTGTAAGATCGATATATATTTCACCTTGTGAACACCAAAAGTTCATATTTTACTCGTGGCTGCGCCACTCGTGAAATATACCTTTTGGTGCTCACTCGGTGAAATATATTCCGATCTTACACCGAACTAAACAAATATCCTCTATATCTTTTAAATTAAGATTTTTTTTTAATTTCGCCAGATCAAAGGTTTGTTCATTTATAGGAGATTAAGACAATTTACAATATATTAACACCGATATTCACTGAGTCAAATGAGTAAAACATCTCGTATATGTATGGCGGTTATTCGTTGCCAAAAATCCAGCCTTGATCTCAGTTGAACAGTTTGTTTACGGACAAAATACAATTGTATTTCTTTGTATGTAAACTCCAATGTTGCATTCTTGGATTGAGTTTGCCGGTTTAACATTATAAACATGTATTTCAACAAAATACATTTTGTTAAATGACAAAACATTACCTGTTTTTCTGATAGTAGCAATACCAAGTGTTCATCATAACATGCGAAATACTCATTGTTCGTGTATACGCCTACTTTCTTAGCAGCTTTACATTGTCAATCCATCATGATTCAGATCAGCATAATCCAGCTGTACACGTTTTTCAATAGGAGATGAAATAAGCTCCGCCCATTTTCCGCCCACTTCATCTTCGTAAATAAACGTATTTATCCGTTCATTTTCGGTATTTACCGTCAGCAACAAGACGCATCGGCGTAGTTTCCGTTTACCGCACCTTTTAGGTGTTTAGTTATTCACTTGCATGATTGATATTCTGTGCCTTTATTCAATCAACATCAGCGGATTCTAAATAATTATAGGCATGTAACTTTTGAAACGTTGTAGATACCACATTTCCTAAAAAAAAATAAAGAAAAAAACAAACAAAGAACTCACCAGGTTACTTACTGTCTGAGGTTAAATATTTTTCAAGAAAGTAAAACTTATTGATAAGACTATATTCAACGACAAATAAATTCTACTAAGGGGATTCCAATTTACATAGGAATGGGTAACATTGACAGTTAAGCTGCTACCTCAACATCTGATAGAGATTTTGATACGACTAAATACTAAATTAAATATAGACCAAATTCTGGCTGTTGTCTTTCCTAGTAGCAGCATTTACTATAACATTAGTAACCTTAATTCTAGCTAATGACTTGACAAGTAAAAACATTTAAGAATAGAAAAATTAAAACCAAGTTGTATGTACCCTTCCGAACGTAACATTTTTATTTGTATCATACTGTATAGATATATATTCCCATTTTTACCTTTTTATTCAATAATATCTATATAATTTGAATGAGTCCAAAGGTATGCATGTTGATTATCAATTTATGTATACCTTGGTTATTTTTATCTCTCTGAGAAAGCCATCACTTACAAAACTGGAATTTTGTACTTCACAACAGCAGGTGTCAAGTGCCGTGTGGCAGTTGTAAAAAGTTGCCCCGTACTTCACTTCAGTGTTGTTATATTTTCTGGTCCTTCGGGATCATTGATGTTAGCACTATAAAGTGTTCAGAATTGATTACCGCTCAAGCCGGTGCTAGGGGGAGTGAGGGGTGTTGCACATATTCATTGTCTCTCATAGCACAGACTCAATCAAACCGAGTCTGCAATTATTATGTAATTTTGTTGTGATTAATGCTTCCGAGGGATCACTTTGTTTCCAGAATTTTGTACTTCACAACAGCAGGTGTCAAGTGTCGTGTGGCAGCTGTAAAAAGTTGCCCCGTACTTCACTTCAGTGTTGTTATATTTTCTGGTCCTTCGGGATCATTGATGCCAGCACTATTAAGTGTTGAGAATTGAGTACCGCTCAAGCCGGTGCTAGGGGACGTGAGGGATGTTGCACATATTCATTATCTCTCATGTACAGACTCAATCAAACCGAGTCTGCAATTCTTATGTAATTTTGTTGTGATTAATGCTTCCGAGGGATCACTTTGTTTCCGGAATTTAATAAATATTCTGTGTAGTAGTTCATGTACATAAAATAGTTTTCTGCTTTTGATCAGATAGACAGCAAGTCTACAGGTATATTAACAACTATATTGACAGCATATATACACATATTTTAGAGCTGTCATTGATTCGGTACAATGCATAAAAGAAGACCCTAACCTACGTCAGCTTGCATTTATTTAATAATAAAAGGCTAAATCACATCCTATGACTCAAATCACCTCCCATGGAGATAAACAGAGATGCTAGGATACACTGAATATTTATTTCAACATTAAAATGGGACAAACTTACACGTTTTCGGTTATACAACGGAATAATCGATAGTAAACTTTGAATAGTTCCGTGGTTTGTCAAAAATTTGGTTGGTTTTTCTACAACCAAATACAGTCCTTTAAAGAAGTTCTCTTTATTCGTGTTGCCAAAAGTGACTTCCATGTATCCCTTTAAAGTACTGTTTGCTGAATGTAAAGACATACCCGTAGTAACGTTTGATGTCATACAAACCTTGTGCATGAAAACATAATTGGTTTGTGTCGTTATATATGGGGAACATTCCCTTATGTTAATTCACCAAGTTTAGTTTTTGCATATTATTATACTTATTATCAGTAAAAACGTTGTTACATTGTTACATCATATCTTTATCAATTTTGCATTACTGGAATACCCTGTGCTAGAATACGTTTTAACAAAATCAGAGGATATTCAAAGTCAACTGTAATGCAGTTGATGTATGTGATATTTATAACAGTTTCATATAATTTGAAATATTTTTTTATACCAGCAAGAGTTACCTCTCTTTATATTCAGATTTCGTGAAAATTGGCGCCGCCTATTAATTTTCGTCTATTTCGTGATAATTCCACATATGGAATTGCGAAATCGTTTACAAATACAGCATGTAAACGAAAAGTGTGGTGTTGTCAACCCGAGAGTGTCAACTGGCGCGGTTAAATTCTCAACGTCATAATTCTTTCGTGTCGCAAATTTGAAGTTATACATCTCAAAATACAGTTTGCAATTTATCTAAGTTGCATGTTAACAGCTTTCATTGTATCAAATCAAGATAATCAAAACGCTTAATACCACTGCAGTATGTAACTCTCGGATCGACAGTTAGATTCAGTAGAACCAAAGTATGCATTGTCAAGTTTCAAAGGCTGGATTTTTGGCAACAAATAGCCTCCATATATATAAAGCTGTTGTGTTTTTTGTTTGTTTTTGTTTGTTTTGTTAAAAACAATATGATTTTGTAGAGAAAAAAAAAACATTCGCTGATAGAAAGCTTTATACATCTTATTAGAAAAACATAAATATTCATCGGTTTTAGTAAATTTGTTGATATTTTAATTCATATCGTAAAGAGATGATAAATACAATATGATTACTGTTTTACAACGTTATAGTGGACTTGACCGCCGCGTCACTAAAAACATGTAATTATCCTAAACGTAAAGTACATGTTTTTTGTCAATGATGCTTGATATAAATAGTATGCGCGGACCAATCATGTAGTTTTAGGGGGCATGCATGGACCCTTCTTAAATTTGGAAAGTATTTGAAACTCGACTGAAAATTGGAAACGCAAAAAAAAAAAACTTGTAAAAACCACTCAAAATTTGGTCTCGTGACACTTATTGTAAACCAACTATGTAAAGTAAATCCCCCTGTAATAAGCATACAATATACATGTAATAGTTACCGTACGAGGAATAGGTCTGCATAGTATTTACAGACCCGGGTGGCGATTTGAAGACCGAGAGAGCGTAGCGATCGAGGTTTTTAAAAGGCCACCGGGTCTGTAAATACTATGCAGACCTATTCCGAGTGCGGTAACTATCTTACCTACATGCTCTTTTGTTTTTCTATCCAAACATCAGTTTATAACTCAATATTTATCAATATAAATCACAAGAAACCTTTCATTTATGTACTTTATCATGTATAAGAATGCATTCCGAAGCCATTCAAATATACCAACCGCTACGCTCTTGTAATTCATTAGTGCACAAATCAGGTGTTATTTGAATATTCTCGTTTTTTTCGTGGGGTTTCATTATGTAATAAGGCCAGGTAAATGTACCTGTTGAGAGTTTCAAGTCATTGATATAAAGAGGGTAAAGGTAAGATTATTATTTTGTAATATGTATATATACATGTAATATAATAATAATAATATACAAAATATATTGACATAGAAAACTTTATCTTGATATTAAAGTATATTTCAGGCCTTTTAGACGATATCTAGCTTGATACATTTGCTTGTTATTGATAAAAAGATAACACGTTCCATTTATAGAAACAGTTTAATCGACCACATAAAAGGTCTCACTTAACTGAAATAAAGATCGATTTAATATATATTCATTGGTTGAACAGTGAACGGGATATCTTTTGAATTTAGTTTTAAAATTTCGCCAGACTAAAGGTTTGTTCATTTATAGGCTTAAGACAATATAATTACACCGATGTTCACTGAGTCAAATAAGTTATAAAACTGACGAATTAATAATAATTTCGTTTATGAAGTTTTTAATATTTTTTTCCTGTAATTTCTCTTTATCTATAAACTTCTTATTTTGCTTATTTTGCGTTAGGAAGTGTATTCAACTATTACTCAAGTTTATAAAGTTTATTACTATTTGTTATTAGTATGATTTGCAGAAGTAATTGAAACTAATGATAATAGTAATAGGAGTTAAGGTAAAGTATACTAAATCGCTATTGAAAATTTGCTAGAAATCGGCATTAGTTTGTTTAAAACCAATCTTAGGTTATCCAATTCTTACAGAGTTGAACAGTTTGTTTTCAAAAAGTGGTTTGTATCGGTGCATATTTGTAAGTTCCGCGGAGTTATAGTTTTACATTGAAAATATTTAAGTTAGTTTAAACATATTTTATTCCTTTCAATTTTTACAATACGTACTATGCAAATATATAGAAAGAAAAATATATAAATACATTTTGAAAGAAAAAGGGTTGGACCACAAGTTCAAATAACATTATTAAATCGGTCCGTCCCTAGTGCGAATATAAAAAACTATTGATACTATAGATTACATTGAAATGGCATTGACGAATAGATCATTTGCAGAGAGAGAGAGAGAGAGAGACTTGAAAAGTGAAGTACTGGAACTGAACACTTTGCCCATTTTTGTAGCTTTACCCATTTTTGTAGCAAACCAGGTGGAAAATATAAATGGATGATCAAATCAAAAGCAAAAGTCAGTTGTTGTATCCAGAATATTGTCACTTTAAATCAAACTAGAACTATCACTAAATGTGATGAATACCCCCTTAAGACGGCTTCTGAAACTAGTAACAGAATACCTTGAATAGAGTTATGGTTGTGAGCAATTAAAAATAGTTGTAGTTCTTGTATGTTGCATTTTCTTTCAATGTGGTTGACCATTGATGAATTTTTATTACTCTGTAATAAGTCCAAAAACAGTTACGCTTTTTCTCCGGACAAAAAAAGCAATGGAAAAGTAACAAAGGACAATAACTCTGTAATTACTTTAGATAGAGTTATGGTTTTTGTGCACTTCACTTTCCCTTATTGTGCTTGACCATTGTGTGAAGTTGTCTTGAATTCCAACCAGTAGTTTTCAAATTATGCTACGGACATGAAAAAGTAACAAAGTGCAACAACTCTGTAATAGGTCAAGATGGAGTTATGGTTCTTGTGCACTGCACTTCCTCTCAATGTGCTTGATCATCATATCAAGTTGTATTGAATTCCAACCATTAGTCTTCAAGTTATTCTCTGGACAAAAGAAAGCAATGGAAAAGTAACAAAGGGCAATAACTCTGTAATTACTTTTGATGGAGTTATGGTCCTTATGCACTGCACTTTCCCTTATTGTGCTTGACCATTGTTTGAAGTTGTTTTGAATTCCGACCAGTAAGTTTCAAGTTATGCTCTGGAAAAGGAAAAGTAACAAAGGGCAATAGCTCTGTAATTAGTCAAGATGGAGTTATGGTTCTTGTGCACTGCACTTCCTCTCAATATGCTTCTCCATTATATGAAGTGTATTGAATTCCAACCATTAGTCATCAAGTTATGCTCCGGACAAGGAAAATGCAACGGACGGCTGGACCGACCGACCGACCGACCGACCAACCGACTACCGAGTTACTCCTATATACCCCCCAAACTTCGTTTCGGGGGTATAATTATGAACAAACAAATCCAGTATTTAATCCATTTTTAAAGTAATTAAGTAATTGTATTAATCCATTTAACAAGAATAATTGAATAAATCTTAATTCTTTAAGTAACATATAAACACATAAATTAAGAGAAATTAACTGCGACCACTCTGATAGGATACTTTTAGCGTTCTGTTTGGTCATCTGATAAGATCATATGTTCATCTCATTAACCGTAGGTGGTCCAGTGCAGTAGAATATTTTGTTCTAGAACGTTATTACCCGATAGGGTCAGGGTAACGTATTGTTACATGACCAGCGATTGGCTAAAAAAAGTGCAGGGAAAACCGTAAGATTCAATGGGACATTAGGTGATTGGACGAGAAGGTATTGTGTATAAGTATAAAAACTATTCTCGAAACTAACAGTACATTGTTTTCTGAAAAAAATGAAGTATTTTGTAAGTCTGTAGAATAATTTTTTACTCTGATATTTACATTTTAAAAAAGTATATGTCAGTCCTGTGATCAGCAGTGAATTACAGTGTAAAGGGGGGGGGTAATCCTCTTTGAAGTCATTTTACGAAAAATTTGGTTGGCTACCCCTATATAACGAGATGAGTTTTATGTGTCAGGCATGTCATTCTCCCAGAAAAATCACATCTCTATGATGAAAACTCAATTTTAAGGTCTGTTTTGGGGTCATTTCTTATAATGTAAGCCTATGGAAAATTAATACGAGTATCTGACCTAAAGGCTGAAAATGGTAGGAAACATCTCGTGCCAATGATGTAAGTTAACATGTCTTGTTTTGATAATAATTGACTAATGAGCTATGAATATGTATTTGTTATATACAAAATGTACAAAATGGCTGATTTGAACCAATTTTGGTCAAATTTGCAGAAAATATGGACAAACACTCAATTATTATGAATGCTGATGGGGAAATTGACTGTAAAATCTGGATAGGGAGTAAATGGGAGAAAAAAAATTAAATGGCCAAATGGTCTTCAGACCATTGAAAGTACTCATAGACTGGCATATATGTTGGACCAGCGTTTGCTAAGGGAGGATGTGCCACGGCTAGCACCAGATGGGTCGTCGCTAGATGTTAGCCATACATGCAATGATAAATGTTGCGTAAACCCTAGGCACTTAGTACTAGAGAAGCATGAGACAAACATGTCTAGGATTCACTGCTTCGGTCATAGTATCTATGTCTGCAGGCACGAACCCCCATGTCTTTTACCGGCCCGGCTACAGAAAGGGCGCGTGTAACTTCCATGGTCACTGGTAGATGGCATCGACTCTTCATATTTATTCAGGTTTTGTTTACGTCGTCTTTGACTTAAATAATTAATACGGTCTTTCAGTAACTGTCCTTTTACATATTTGTTTTTCTCTCTGGTACTTTCATGTAATTTATACATAAGACTTTTTCTTTTTGAACGTTTAAGCTTGAATTCAATACTTTTTTCTGTTTCTTTTTTATTTTCAGCGCGTTTCTGTTCTTGAAGTAATTGACGGGCAACTCGACTACCTTTTGGGATTGGGCACTCCGCTGCTGTGCATAGTTTCATAAGTGATACCCCTGGCCCATTGTTTACAGCGTGTATAGCACTGAAAAATCGTCCAGAACAGTTGTGCGGAAAAGTGGTGTTATTAGGTAAGCATTTTTTAATAGCGCGGTTCGTCCCTTCTACTTTTTGTGTATTTGAATTAAGACGAGTTTTGTTTAACATATCTTCACCTAGTCTAAATTCAATCCAATCAAGCATTGTGTCATGATTATCAGGGATATTGAGACTGATTTTGAAATTTTTTGTCAAGAAAGCACTATTTACTAACCAGTTACTGTTTTTTGCGCCTTTACAAACCCTCGAATGAAGATTGCAACCGTAATGGTCCCCAGCATAACAGCGTTTAATCGCAGTAACAAGGTATTTCAATTTCTCTGTTTTTTTTGAAAAATCTCCGTTTTCCTTTGTAAATACTGATTCAAATTCAGCTGTACACCGGCGACTTAGGTCAAGGGCAAACCTATTTCTTAAGTACTTTCGGTATTCAACATTATGACCGGGCATCATATTCAAAAGACGCGAGCAGGAGTTCATTTGTTTCCGATGATTTTCTGCCAGATGCCTCGTGTCCAGCTGATGAACAGGTTCTGTGCTTGTGATTTTGTTGTCGTAAAGGTCTGTGGCAGCACGAAAAGCCCCTGAATCTGCATCAGTGGTTAGATATTTGACCTCGAGCCCATCATGATGTAGATCCAGGAAGCAGCTTTTTGCCCATCTGTATTCATCTCCTATAGTTGTTTCAATGCTAGCTGTTGCCGAGCAAGGTCCAGACTTGTTGTCGCATTCTGTTTCTTCTTGAGTGTGGAAGCCATGCTTGGAACAAAGTTTGTTCACTTGCTCAGCAGCAATTTGTTTTTTAGAGGTTATTGTCTCCGCAACTGTGTATGATGCCTGCGTTGCAGGCTGAAACGGTGTTTTCCCCACACCGCTATACAAGTTGTTGTTGTACATGCCATCTGCCTGTACATTTATAATATTCTGTGGCAGTCCCCTGTATTTATTAATTTCTTTTAGTTCTTCCCTGATTCTTTTCATGTCCCTTTTATTTTCTTTGCAAATGACCTCATTGACCAGGTTTGCAGTCCTCTGGAGGCAGGCAACTGAGGGAGCTGGTATATTCCCTCCATGACATATTTTTCTGACACCAGAGGAAGCTATTGGTGTCTGAGTGAGAGCTATTGAAATGCCACGGGTGACAGAAGCTGGTTTAACTCCCCGCTTACAGGTGTCTATTTCGGCGTAAAGCTTATATCGTTTCGAAACATAGCTACAGATCTGGCACTTTGCACTTTCACGCCATCCGAAGCCCCACTGCATGGACGAAGATGAATCGAAGCAAAGATTTCCTTGACAGTCTGGTTTCTTTTGCCTATGTTCACGACTGACTTCATTGACCATTTCCCACAGTTTGCTGGTATGAAACAGCTTGTAGCAGTCATTTTTGTCACTGAAAATGATATATACTTATCAAACATATTGTAATGTATCAATTTTGCAAAATCAAAGGAACCAAAAAAATACAGTAACATATTTACTTGGTTTTTTTTATTATATGTGCCTTTTTTTGAGTTGTCTCCCTTTGATTTAGAGACATCAAAGTATTAGGCTCTGAACTGTGTTTTTAATGGTAAAAAATGTTTAAAATTCATTTTTATTTATCATTTTCTGCATTGATACCTTAATATTACCAATAAGATATAGATTAAATGTATATATGATTAATTTTTTAAGTTTTATAGCTAAAATTTGTGAGAAAATCACCAATAAATGGCTAAAAGTGTGATATAGACTGCAACAATTCAAATATATATATGCATTTTTGATACTTTTAATATCATATCTGATTGCGGAATAGTCTTACCTTTGATTCTGTGCATCGTCCGACATAAATTGAAGTTTCAAATCGTCTTTGGGAGGACTTCGAAGGAGTTTGTAATTTACGGGCTCCTGGTCAGAGTTCTCGGCTGAAGATGTCGCCTTGGGTAATAGCGGGTTCGTCTGTACAAGAGTCTTCAATTTTTTTTCAAGTCTGACATATTTAATTGTCCCTGTGCCTGAATTAAATCCACCGGTACGTGGTGAGTGATTATGACCCTTTGCAAATCTGGTTTTGCATGTTTTAAAATTGATTTTTCCCATATTTTTATCCAATTTTCACACAATTTTAGCAGCATAAAGTATAAAATGAACAATTTTGTCCCAGTAATTTTACTATACAGAAATTTCTTAGATAAGCCAGGTATATATAAGTGTGTTAGATGACCATATGCGAGTCATGTATAGTATCTTGCAGATGTATATTAGATTGGGAGTCTGATATAGACAATTTAGTTGGGCTTTGGAGAAGGGCTAATTGGTGATTAAATGTGTCATTTAAGAGGGCCACTTTTATCAGAGACCCATATGCATATACTTATTATGTGTTAAACATCATTTTGCAGAGTTTTTTTTACTATTTTAGTATCAATCATTGCTTTTACAGGTTTAGAAAACAAAGATTTTTCAGTTTTCACCTTCAAATATGTGGGTGGGGTACAAAAACTACCCCTATTCTTACTAAAATAAGATTGATTGAATAAATATTTTGAACATATGTTGAAGACTTACCAATATATATATGTATTATTTGAAATGAGGAGTCATTCCATTTAAAACAGAAATAATGAAGATTTATCATAGTACTTTTTGGGGTATTTTTTTCTATTTAACTCTATTTTCATGGTCTTTATGGCATTACATGCCTTATAGTGAAATGGCTACCATCTTCTCAAATCTTATTTGAAATACAAAAAGTGAACACATTTATATTTGATATACTTTATTCTTATTAAATAATACAAAATAATTCTATATTGTACAAATAAAATATGCCTTTAGGTCAGGGTAACGTATTGTTACATGGCCAGCGATTGGCTAAAAAAAGTGCAGGGAAAACCGTAAGATTCAATAGGACATTAGGTGATTGGACGAGAAGGTATTGTGTATAAGTATAAAAACTATTCTCGAAACTAACAGTACATTGTTTTCTGAAAAAAATGAAGTATTTTGTAAGTCTGTAGAATAATTTTTTACTCTGATATTTACATTTTAAATAAAATGGGGTCATTGGGGTCATTTCTTATAATGTAAGCCTATGGAAAATTAATACGAGTATCTGACCATAGAAAACAATACATGTGATATCGAATCATGTATACACCTGGAAATAAGTTAAACACACTACGGAAAATTGGTTGTGATTGAAAGCATGATTGAGCTGGAAAATAGTAATTCGATAAGAAGCGACGATTCATAAACCAGTAAATTTATGAGTTTATTCTTAACCAAATTATTGAAGCATAAGCAAATGCGTTTGCTATTGCCTCCTCGTAATACCGGCACACAATATAACACTCCAATAACTGAGCACATTGAGATTTCCACCTTGCATATTGGAATTTTGACCCAGTACATTTATCTCGGTCTCAACAGAACGACATTTAACCAGGTTTATCAGTCATTCTAAACATAAGACAGTCCAAAGCGATCCATAGCTTGACCTGTTATATCATCTTATGACTACTAGATTATGATTACTAGATTACTGATTTATCCATGAAACTTATATTTGATACTTTCACAGTAGAAGAGACCACTATTTACAAACTTCCCCATTATTTATGCTTACAATTCCGACATATCCAGTGCTTTTAAGAGAAAAGCAAGGTTGAAATTGATAAGTTACCCACATTTTTTTTAATGTAATCAAAAAGATCAATCTTACTTCAAATTCATTCAATTTACCAATCACTAAACTCGTTTCTATAAATTCGTGCCTACTTCTTGATTTCGTTCATTACACTTCTTTTATCATGCAAAACTGCTCTCGATGACATTTGGGCATATTTAAGTATCCTTTGAGGAATAACTGTAAAAGATGTGTAAAAGCAATGGCATTCATCTGCCCGAATGATAAGTAGATAACCCAGCGTTCGTTAAACGGCATTTCAAAACATTCAATGTTTACCAAATACCCTGTCGCTTCTTGAATGTATACTCAACTGTCAACAAATAATTATTGTCTGAAACAATCCACGGATATGTTTTCGTTCTTATGATAGATGTAAAATAATCATTATGATAGATGTAAAATTATCAAATCCAAACCAAATAAAAGCCCTTTGAATCAAACACATTTTATTCTTCCTCGCTTTTTTAAAAATGGTGTTCGCTTAATATAGACCGCTGTTATAACAGAATTACGTTCGACATGGTACATGTTTTTCATGGTCTAGAAATTTGTTATATATATCAAGCGATTATTCATAACGTTTTGTTTAAGATAAATAATATCATAGCCATTTAACGTTTATTTCTAAACTTAATTTTAGCTGAAAACTTCCTGTATTTATGAGAAAGTCGTCTGAAGTTGAGGCTACCAGTTTGGAAAACAGACTTTAGTATTCAAGTTAATATTGAGGAAAGTTCATTTAAGCTGGTATTTGAGGATATGATAAAAAAATGTGATTTGTAAGATGCAATTTTATTACATCGAGTGGGCTTTATAAACAGTATTCTCAGGAGTGGCGTACTGTTTTTGAAGTTCACGAGATGAAATGAAATTGCATCTTGCACACAAACAAACAAATATCCTCTATTCTTTACACTTCTCGTCATGGTTTATGTGATTAACAAATGTAACATCATCTAATACAGTTTGATTTCAAATTTGGGTTCAGGCCACTTAATGTTTAAATAGTTTTGATTTCTTTTCACTTACCAATTTAAAACTTGTTTTGATGATTTGAAATCTCTCTGTACAATGTTGTCTTTTCACTAGAGGTAATTTCTTTTAACATGTATCTTTTAATAAGTATTTCCCTTTTCCAGTAAAGAACATCAGTGGGGTATAAATCGCATTCGCGATACATCTAGTTTTTTTTAAAAAGGTTAACAGTAATGACAGTTTGATATTAATGTTCCACGTGTCTTTTTCAGATGGAAGAAAGGACAGAAAGAAGAATTATACTTCTCGGGAAAAATGGAAGTGGAAAAAGTTCACTTGGTAACTCTTTGCTGGGACGGTACGCTTTTTCTCACGGAAAACTGTCACAGTGTAAAAGAATTGGAGATATCAATGAAAGACATAATATCACTTTATGTATAATAGATACACCTGGGCTGTTTGATGCTGATGTTGCGTTAGCTGTGAGCGCTCTTAAAATACAAAGGTCTCTCGACATTTGCCCTAATCCACATGCATTCCTGATTGTTGTCAACTCAAAAGATGACACGGAATATCTGGACTATACGGTGGATATGCTGCCTTTTATATTTGGCAAAGATGTTTTCAATAATGCAGTTATAATGTTGACTCACGCAGATACGTGCGATGTAGATTCCTGGCTCACGGAAAATCCCCTGTCATCACTTTGTGGCGGACGTGTTGTAACGGCGAAAACCCTTGACGATTGTATGAATCAGTCAACGGTTGATGCCATACTGAACCAAATCAGGTTACTGACATGTAATGTAGTATCCGTTTATAGCCATAAATCTATAGAACTCCACAGTCGCGTCTTACAGTGTATGCCAGTCTGCAAGAGAGGGGACGATATTAGATCTCAGCTGAATGTAATTAAACATCGGGCCAGCATGGTAAGTTATCACATTCAAAGTATTCCATGACTGTTTCTTTTATATTTCATGTCTTGCACAGTGTGAAATAAGTAAAAGAAAGATCTGATTTGTACGGGGGGAGGCGTAGCCCCCTTGTATAAGCTTGATTGCCGAGTGTTTTGATGTTCTTTCTCTTTTGTATCATAGGCAAAAATAAAAACACGTTCCCTGCTGTCACAATATGATACACCCCCCCCCCCAAAAAAAAAAAAAACTAAACAATTAACAAGCATCTGAATATGATATTTCTATCGTTAGTCCCTTTCTCTGTCGTCACAATAAAACCCATACAAATGAGTCAATCAGTAGGCATGCTCTGGAGTGCGGGAACATAATACCTACACTCGAGTTAACGCACTGTGCATGTATATAAACGATTACACTCTGACCCATATTTAACAGAAAGATCTCAAACTATGATACAATTTTAGTATAATCTTCTTCTTTTTTCTTGTATGATATAGAAAATGAATGAAATAAGAATCATTCTATGACGTTTTATTATAAATAGAAAATATTTTGAATTAGGTTACTACGTGAAATGTACGCTCTTTAGTGCAACAAATCTTAATACCACAAGTAAAAATGCAGAGAATATATGAATTTAGACTTACAATCTATGAAAATAAACGACATTCTTGAAAGTGTCATAATTTTAATGCTCAATGATCTTTGTTTTCTTAAAACAAAAAAAAATCGGAAATATTATCTTTACCTCCGTAAGCAAAGTTTGAAAATGGAGACAAAGTCCGTCCCGCTCTGGGGGTCACTTAGTTAACATAGGTTTGGAAATTAAATATGTATTAAAATATTTTTTTCGAAAAAAAAAAACAATTCCCAGTGCTTACATACTTTCCATGCTGCAGCACCTTGTGATCTTCTACAGAAGTTGTACCTAGGGGCAAAACTGTCCCCGCTCTGGGTATAATTAATTTAGTATATACGTCGTATAGACATGCCTTGGAAAGTACATTTTAAGTTTTCTTCTCAGAAACTACAATAACCAGATAAAGAGCTATTAGTACTTGAATCTTGAATCTTTTTACTTTTTCTATCTTTCAGAACATTTTTCTTTAGATTGACTTTCTTGAGACATTTTGACTTATGTGAACCATACATCTTTTACTCTTGTATAAAGATTAACTCCTTACTTACAAATCTGTTGACACTAGAGAATCCACAAGATCCGTGTTAGCAACTTCCGGTAAAGTAAATGAGCCGGAAAATTAGCACAATTTTAAACGTTGTACTTGTTTCTATTTTTTTAACATAAGAACACGTTCTTCCCATACTTCAAAGCAAAATATAACCTCCGTTTGATTGAAATTTTAATTCATAACAGTTTACTTTAATACAAATTATAACGGAAACGAACTTTTACTTAATTTCAGATCCAAAATGAGATAAGGGTTATAATGATTGGTAAATCTGGTAATGGAAAAAGTTCAACAGGCAATTCATTGCTTGGTTGTAATGGTTTCCATGTTGAGAAAAGTCTCAAAGCTGTCACAGAACAAAGCAACATGAAAACGAGCTGTTTAAAGACGACGCAAATAATAAGTGTTGTAGACACTCCTGGGCTTTTTGACAAAGGAAGTTCTTTGGCTGAAAGAGCACTTGAAATCCAACGGGCTGTCGAAATATGTCCAGAACCGCATGCGTTTTTGTTGGTGTTTAATTCAGACAACCGTTTTACAGAGGAAGAAAAAAGGACTGTCGATATGATGCGCATTATATTTGGTGAGAATATATTCGAGCACACCTGTATAGTTTTTACACGTGGAAGCGGCTTTGATAATGAAGGTAAATTCAGGGAGTTTTGGGAGAACGAAGGTTTCTTAAAGGATGTGGTTCAGAAATGCCAAAGCCGCATTTTCAAAGTAGAAAATTTTAAACAAAGTCACGCTTCGGATGAAGCCTTCTCAACTATCATCAACTCAATGAAAACCTGCCCAGTTTACAAAAATGATCAGCTTGACGATCATAAAATAGTGCTGGAGGAACATTTGAATAATAACCAATGTGAGAACCAGGACATTAACAAACAAATTGAACACTTGCTTAAAAATCTTGATAAACGGCCCAGTAGTGGGAATTGGAAGGCTGGTTTTGTTGTTGGTGCATCGGCAGGTATTGTAGGAGCTACTGTAGCAGCGGGAGGAATTGGTTTAGCAGCACCAATGCTTGGCTTAGAAGCAACAACGGCACAAACATCTATGGTCGGAGTGGTGTTTGCTGCCAGTTTAGGATACCTGAAAAAATTATGGTGGCCCAGCTCAAAGTAAATAGGATACGATAAATAAATGTGTTTCATATCAAGTAAAGTATTTATAATAATCTAAAGTGAAATACTGATTAAGTTTTTGGTAAACATACATTGTTTGAATAAATAATGACCAACTATTTATCAGTAATTTAGACCATGGACATTGCCGTGAAAAAAATGAGTATCAGGTTTGTTTCTTCTTTGTTGGTTATTGTTTAAAAAATCTTTGAAGATGATAGTTTGCTTTTAAATATATGCAGCGGAAAGATAAAATATTTTGTAAAATGACCATGATCAGAGGCTTTGTGTTGAAGTTATGTATGCTAAACATATAGCAGTAGTGGGGATTATATTTGTATTGTTACATCTTTCTTTAAGCTAAACTTTGAAAAAAACATATAACCTATGAATAATTGCTTTTTTTGAGTATTTCCTCGAATGAGATATAAAATATTAGACTTCCTTTTGAATTGTTTTGTTGACCTTAAAATATTATGTTATCTAGACGTAAAATAAGGCGCGACGTTAGCGGAGTCTAATATCTTTTCTAAAGCTGTGTGCGAGTCCAATATAATCAGTATTGTATTCAACAATGTATCTCTTTATCGAAGAATACCTTAATTTACCGAAATTATATTTATGGTATATTATTGTGCGAAGATATGTAATAGAAAGAGCACCGAAACACGAGGCTATCTGATTTGTACGAGGAGGCGTAGCCCCCGAGTATAAATCAGATTGCCGAGTGTTTTGGTGTTCTTTCTATTTTGTATCATAGTCAAACATAAAAACACGTTCCCTGTTGTCACAATTTAAAACCCCGGGAAAAAGTAACCAATGATCGAGCATCTGAATATGATATTTCTCCCGCTTTCCCTTTCTCTGCCGTCACAATGTGTAAACCCCAGCAAAAATGTGCCAATCAACGAGCATGATCTGGAGTGCGGGTAACTGATACCTGCACTCCAGTTACCGCACTGTGTATGTATATGTATACGATTTAACTCTGACAACTCTTTTTCAACAGAAAGGTCCCCAAACTATGATACAATTAATATTATTAATATTTAGAGCAGTACACGTTGCAACTTCACTGAAAACACATATAAAGATGTACAGCATCTAGTTTCTTCTGTACATTTTATACCAGAATAAGCCAATATTTTAAAATCATGATATCACATTATTGTGTGGATTAAAATTACCGAAACTGATTTCGAATATTGTGTATTTAATTTTAGAGCCTCCAAAAGATGATTTTAGAATGTCACAATATGTTATCGATTTATTGTATATATACATGTACTTCATTATTTAAAGTTGTTGTGAATATATCTGTTATCATCATTTTAATTCGTTACTTTCAAATCTGTTGGTCTGAAAAGAAACGATTCACATTTTATATTTCAATTGATCTTACCAGACTGGTATTAGGCGACCAGTCGGTCATCGTCTTCAATAACAAAGACTAAATTGACTAATTCTTTTACACAACATTTTGCCAATCCTTCAAACGTCCATTAGATAGGAATGTTCTCTAGTAATTGATTGTAATTTTGTTTGTATTTTAGTAACAAAACAATTGTAAAAAAAATAGTATAATATTTCATAATTACAATAACTATAAAAAAAACAGTCGAAAGTCTCGATAAATACGCTGCTTTAAAAAAGAAAAGAATAATTTTAGTTTTATTCGCTTTTGAAAACAAAATCAAATTTGCAGAACATTATTGTCTGCAGCCAATGAATATATTTTCTTTTTCAATAGAATATTAAATTCATTTTGCATGACACAAATGATATTACTTTTGTAACATATTCATACACACAACGATCTTATTTGGACGCGTAAAGCATTTATTATACTTAGTAATAGCTCAAGGATTATAATCTTAATCTTGCAGTTGTTATAAGAATGAATCTATTGAAGTATAAGCAAAATAATGAAAACACCATCAACAAACATTAGACAACTAACGATTCACAAACTATTTAAACGTAAAGTAAAATGTTTAATACCTATAAATGTAAGAATGTCTATGATTAGTAGAATATGCAAAAATGTAATTTGTATGAATTTATCGAAATATATCGAGAATATTCAAGTTTTTTTTCTATAAATACTGGATTTATTTTTATCGAGTGGTATTAAAATAAACAGTTCATGAGTGTCGGTAGCCACGCGTGAAATATGATACATTTCATACTATATAATATTCTGTTAATCATATACATTTTTCTCTTTTTTTGGCATTACAATTTGAAAAACTTTCCCTTAAATTTTGTGTAAATATGTTCCACTTCATTGGAAAAAAAATTTACGATGAAAAAACGGTGAAATGAATATAAGCATTTTGTATTCAATATTTCATTTACAAGTATATAATAAACCGGTATAATGAAAGGTCAAATAAAAATTAAAATGTATTTGTGGGAGATTAAACATCTTTATACAAGATATTTATCCTTGATGTAAAAGATTATAGTGAATCTTTTAAACTTAAAATAGATAAACATTTTGATCTATTTCTGAAGCATTTTACAGGAAGTAAAAATAGTAATATATCTTACGGAGATTATAAAACTCTGGGACAAACCAAAAATAATATTTGATCCTTTAATTGTATTAGAAGAATTTAAAATCAAATATTCAAAGTAGACTAAAATGATAAGGAAATATAAATCCCCATCCCTTACTAGTTAATGGCACATCATACTTTAGAAATGAATGCATTTTTTTTCAATTAAAAAAAGCAAACATAATTTACAAATAACCTTAATATTACGGTTTTAAGCTACTATCCCACACATTGTTGTTCGCGTTTTGAAATGAAATATCATCAAAGAAAAATTTTCACCACAGGCTCGGCTCGTACATTTATATGGAACAAGATGATTAATACGTGTCTTGTCAATTGAAAAAGCATCTAAAAAAAAAAATTTCAATGTTTATCAAGCTGTAATTTTAAACCGTTGCAACTTTTAACTTTTGTAAATATTGACTTAAATTATAAACATACCCACCCGTTAATTAACTGGTTGCAAGCAGTTGGGTAGACAAATTGTGCGCTTTGTAAGTTTTTTACCCTGTAATCGACTGCTGCATAATATATCATAGAAAATTATGACTATAAAAAGAGACAAATAGGAAGTAAATATCTTGATAACCTGATTTAAAACTGACATTCACTAGTAAATTCTACCTTTCTCAAGCTGTCCTACTCGCTACATAGTAACGGAAGTGATAATAGGGTTGTTTATATCTATGGCAAGTGAAACATAACAACCGTTCGGTCACAATGATCTGGTGGCAACTGCATATTTAACTTGTTTGCAAATTTAAAATTAACAGACTGAGTAAACAAATATGTTGATGTTTTGGACCCGTTTGTTGTGAGTGAGTGAGTGAGTGAGTGAGTGAGTGAGTGAGTGAGTGAGTGAGTGAAGTGAGTGAGTGAGTGAGTGAGTGAGTGAGTGAGTGAGTGAGTGAGTGAGTGAGTGAGTGAGTGAGTGAGTGAGTGAGTGAGTGAGTGAGTGAGTGAGTGAGTGAGTGAGTGAGTGAGTGAGTGAGTGAGTGAGTGAGTGAGTGAGTGAGTGAGTGAGTGAGTGAGTGAGTGAGTGAGTGAGTGAGTGAGTGAGTGAGTGAGTGAGTGAGTGAGTGAGTGAGTGAGTGAGTGAGTGAGTGAGTGAGTGAGTGAGTGAGTGAGTGAGTGAGTGAGTGAGTGAGTGAGTGAGTGAGTGAGTGAGTGAGTGAGTGAGTGAGTGAGTGAGTGAGTGAGTGAGTGAGTGAGTGAGTGAGTGAGTGTCCAAAGAGAAATAGCAAAATACTGTATCAGTGTTGTGAACCTTTTTCGTTATATTTCATAATTATCTGATTCAAGTTTTTAGTTCTTTCAATGGCGGTGCTAAGTGACATTTGCTGTACTTAGCAGTAAATACATTCATTTCTCTTTTAAATCGACATTTGTGCATCTTAACTATATCGTGAAATATCCATTGACAACGTAATCAAAATTAGAATCTGTTTTCTAAATCGAGTTTCAGTTTTCCATTCAATTTGTCGGCAGTCAAAATTTTCAAAACACTTGATCAAATCAAAATACATAAACATCGTATGGGTCTTTTCTAACTGAACGACAAGGAAGTTAGCAACGCAAATTGAGATGCGTTGTATTCAAATATCATGATTACCTGTCCCTGTTACAATTATTTAATAGTAGCTGGCAGGGAACAAGGCAAAGTGTTCAACTACTGAATGCGGATTTGAAATGACAGCAGAAGAAAAATTAGTGACATTAAAGACTATAAGATGCATATTGCCTATATATTTTTATTTTCAATATTATGGCTTTCCGGTGAGTAAAATTTAAACGTATTTTTGTAATGTATAAGCATTAAGATACTTGAGAAAAATGGAAAAGGTACAATTAAAGATATATACAAGTAAATATCAATCAAGTTTTGTAATTAAGCCGAGCGTATTACTTTAAACTATTTTGTTACCGATAATTTACTTAGAAGAAAATATTTTCTTGGATGTTAAATATATATTGTAAGGTCTAGTAGCCTCGAATAAAAACAAAACATTAAACAAAGAAAAATAAAGTAAGCGTTAATTTTGGAATATTTTGATATGGAACATTTTTAATAATGGATTATCACAACTTTTTTCTGGTTGGTTTGTGATTGTTGTCTGAGCAAAGTGATACGGATTTTATGCAATATTTTTGTATGTTTGTCTCTCCTATTTTTGCATTTTCTTTCGCCCTATGCTGACATTTATACTATTTTCATACAGTGCTATGTCTCCGTGATCATCACTTTGTAGTTTGTAGAAAATATTTTATGATTTATCTGAAATACTTGATTCCATAGTCAATTAACTAGTTTGAATATTTACCTGTTTATCAGTGCTGATGAAGAATGTATCTGCCAAGTTAGAAAAACTATGACAAATAACTCCAGTGAATAAATAAATGGAAATCTTATAAATAATAATGATTTATAATATGCGGAGTTTTAAGTGAATAACTAAATGGAAATTATATAAATTATAATAATTTATAATATGCGGAGTTTAAAGTGAATATATAAATGTAAATCATATAAATTATGATAATTTATAAAATAATATGCGGAGTCTGCGGCTACACTTGGTATTGTTTTAATTAAAGGAAACTCAAAGTAAAATATAAACCGATGACAAAATTCATGGTGTTTCTCTATACTACAATTTAAAACGGAATGTTAAAAGTTTAAAGAAACATCTTTCTCCTCTTATGATTCAATATTGATATTAAACATTTTTTTACCGTTTAATATGTAAATATTTTGCTGCGCAGTTACGTTTATATTTCGGAATGAAAATTTATCTTTACTTACAAATACTTCAACTCTTTTTGGTTTAATGTGTCTTGATAAGAATTTAAAACATGTTTTAAAGAGATTATTACATACTCGACGTCAATTGCATCATAAATTTGAGATGTGCAGAGATTTTATTATGATATATATATATTCTTTTAATTATTATATTTTTACATTTATTTTTATGTGGAAATTATAAAACCTGAATAGGAGACTTTTCAAAATGTTTTCGTAAAAGCGTTAGTGACAGAATGTGTGCACCATGTCAATTTAAATTTAATTTAAATTCATAGGGTAAGATGTTTGAAAAAGCAGGCTCATTAAGATATGTTTTTCTTTAAGTAAAGATAACACTAAATTTCTATATAATAGTTAGTTTCCATATGAAATTTGTTAAATATAGTTCTGTCATTTATTTGATCATGATAACAAAAAATAATATATAGCGTCATAAAATATTCATTTATGCCATTCATATCAATCATTGATAGCACGTGAAATATTTTATATTTTGGAAAAATATTAAGTACGAAATAGTGTTAAAATCAGTCAAACAATTAATTTACTAGTAAACTTAAATGCTTGTAGTAGCTTCAATATATTTTATCAAAATTAAATACAAGTAAACATCAATCACTAGTCTTTGTTGATTTCCAAACAAACTTGTTTTCTTGTATTTAAATTTTATAAATAGTTATATTTTGTAAAAGTAAATAATGTATTCCTCATGAAGATAATATTTATTTACAATGCTCGTACAGCATAGATGGGTCTTTTCTTATGTTAAAGCTTACTTTTTTACTATAAAAGGCAAAAATGTCGTCAGTACTTGTCCATATCGCTACTGGGGAAGTGACTGCCAAGAATTATGTGAAACTAATTGTCAAGGATCATGTCATGAGAACACAGGAGCATGCTCTAGTTGTTACAGTGGTTATTGGGATACTCATTGTCATAAAGATTGTCCGGCAAATTGTAGCTCTAGATATTGTGCCAAACAAGATGGTAGTTGTTATTCTTGTTCCGATGGTTCGTATGGTAAGATGTGCAACAATGCGTGTTATATAAAATGTAAGAAATGTCATCAAACGACTGGTGCATGCACTTTATGTAATGATGGTGAATGGGGAGACACCTGTGAGAAAACATGTGCTCCGAATTGCAAAATATGTGACAAGTTAACAGGTGATTGTCGGATATGTAAGCCCGGTTATTGGAACATTTCTTGTGGCAACAAATGTTCTGACCTGAATTGTGATATTTGTAGTATCTCATCAGGATCATGTCAAGTGTGTAAATCCGGATTTTGGGGCGAAGACTGTCAGAAATCATGTGGGAACTGTACATCAGATAAGTGTGGAAGGAGTGATGGAAGATGTTATTCATGTCAATCCGGATTTGCAGGACAAAACTGCTCAATACTTTGTAATCTTGGAAATTGCAGTTTCGTTCTCATGTAATGTGAATTATCATAAATGTTATGTTTGTAATCTGGTTCGGGGAACGTTTGTTGAACATAGATGCAGTCAAAATTTGTGCATCCCGCTGTGATAAAAGCAGTGGAAATTGTAGCTCTTGTGATGCCGGACTATGGGGAGCTAATTGTAACGAAACCTGCATGTACAACTGTTCCTCATCAAGTTGTATTAGATCAAACGGGCAGTGTAGTAGTTGCAAGTCCGGGCTCTGGGGCTTATTGTGTAATGAAACCTGCAGCAACGGTTGTTCTCCGATAAGTTGCAATAGAAGCAATGGCCACTGTAGTAGTTGTAAATCCGGATTCTGGGGTGAATTTTGTAATGAAACTTGCATGCAGGGTTGTTCTTCCTTAAGCTGTAATAGAAACGATGGAAAGTGTAGTAGCAGTTGCAAGCATGGACTTTGGGGCGAATATTGTCAAGATACTTGCGGCGAAGGGTGCTCATACCCATCATGTAAACAAAGTAATGGATATTGCAGTTCTTGCAAAAGCAGGTATTGGGGAGATAACTGTAACTTGACTTGCAGCGACAATTGTTCATCCAGCTGTGATAAAAGCAACGGGAATTGTAGCAACTGCGGGGCCGGACTATGGGGAGCTAATTGTACCGAAACCTGCATATACAACTGTTCCTCATCAAGCTGTATAAGATCAAACGGACAGTGTAGTAGTTGCAAGTCCGGGCTCTGGGGCTTATTATGTAATAAAACCTGCAGCAAAGGTTGTTATTCGATAAGTTGCAATAGAAGCAATGGCCACTGCAGTAGTTGTAAATCCGGATTCTGGGGTGAATTTTGTAATGAAACTTGTATGCAGGGTTGTTCTTCCTTAAGCTGTAATAGAAACGATGGAATGTGTAGTAGCAGTTGCAAGCATGGACTTTGGGGCGAATATTGTCAGGATACTTGCGGCGAAGGGTGCTCATACTCATCATGTAAACAAAGTAATGGATATTGCAGTTCTTGCAAAAGCAGGTATTGGGGAAATAATTGTAACTTGACTTGCAGCGAAAATTGTTCATCAAGTTGTGATAAAAGCAACGGGAATTGCAGAGACTGCCGAGCCGGACTATGGGGAGGAAATTGTACCGAAACCTGCATGTACAACTGTTCCTCATCAAGCTGTATAAGATCAAACGGACAGTGTAGTAGTTGCAAGTCCGGGCTCTGGGGCTTATTGTGTAATGAAACTTGCAGCAAAGGTTGTTATTCGGTAAGCTGCAATAGAAACAATGGTCACTGTAATAGTTGCATAGATGGACTCTGGGGTGCTTATTGCAATGAAACATGTAGTAATGGGTGTTCTTCTTTAAGCTGCGATAGAAATAATGGAAAGTGCAGCAGGTGCAATGATGGACTGTGGGGACCATATTGTGAAAACGAATGTTATCGGTCGTGTCGATCTCTTGGCTGCCATATTGAGTCCGGCGAATGTATGGAATGTGATTTCAACAGATGGGGAAGGTTTTGTGAAAATGTTTGTAGTACATCTTGCTCGTGGGGTTGTAACAGACATACTGGTTATTGCTTAAGATGTGCAAACAGATATTGGGGTCATGATTGTTCCAATGTATGTAACGACTCGAAATGTGAACAATGCTCTTTAACGAATGGATTATGTTCAGTGTGCCAATGGGGTTTTTGGGGCCTCAACTGTAAGTCTACGTGCAAATCTGATAAATGCCTTTATTGCAATAAAGCTACCGGATATTGCAGTAAATGTCCCTTAGGACGATGGGGAATACTTTGCCAGAACATGTGCAAGGATGGATGCCCCTGTTGCAGCATTAGTACTGGAGCATGCTCATATTCTTGCCCCGCCATACCAGGTATTTCTTCTTTCTAGTTTTTAAGTATACCTCTACAAAAATACTTTAATTGATTTTACATTGTGACTTATGTTTTTGCGCAGATATAACAAGTACCCTATCTTTTTAAATGTTGTAGTACGAAAGCTTTTCAAAAATACGCAGACACATGCATATCTAATTTAAATATTAACATACTCAATCAGCTTACATTTTTAGGCCTATATTTCTTTATAAATCAATATTCGGTTCAGATGCGTCAAATATTTATTTCCTGTGTTGACACTACCTCATGTGTAACTCTACGATGCAATACTAAATTTGAAATATTGAATCGGAAAATAGAAGCTTAGCTTAAATCTATATTATCGTAAATGTTTTTAGAGAAATCGGCTTAAATGACGTGTAGATATAGAGTTACGTAAATTCAATTCATCCCTCTTGTATTATGTCAAGTGGTGGAAATAGTCCACAAAAAATCTTTAACAAATGACGAAAATCAATTTGACGGCGCAACGTTCTAATATCATTTTTGGCGTAAACTTAACAAATCCACAGCGAGGAGCATGAAGATGATGGTGCGGATGTACAATGTTGGTTTAACGTCCAATATGGGTAGAATGGGCAAAACCATTATAGTAACGTCAGATAGACGCTGAAAGGTGATTACGGAAAGGTGAAGACAAAAATAAGTAACTCGTTTATGATAAGTGCTGGTAGATTTCTGTACCTTCCCGACTTTTAAGCCGACCGAGCACAATTTGAAATTGACGCTAAAAAGCATGTGCGCTGCCAACGAGATCTTTTTTAAACAAAAATACATAAGAGTTGTATAAAAATATGTTCCATACACGTCTTCCGCAGCACTGGAAGTGTATCGAGAAGGCCTGGGCATACTTCGAGAAATGTTAATTGCTTGACGTTGTTGACGTCATTTTGTTAGTCTGAATCACCAAAATTGTTTCTCCTTTTTTGTTGTTGTGCGAATATTAAACATCTATGCCGGACACCGTTTTATCTATTATCATTATACATGTTTAAGAAAATGAATAAGAAACAATGCTTTTGTCCTCATAATTTTTGATGGGCCCTCGTAACTACCTAACCTTTGTGGTAACACAATGGCAACTTTGATGACAACTTCTTATTAAATATCACACATTCATCGGTCAACATCCAAACTAATACAAGAAGATAAATGTTTATATTTTGTTTGATACACATGAATATTTAATGAAATAATACTTAAACACTTAAGCGTGATATATTTCATTCGTTTTAATAGTTTTTGACATAAATACTTACATTTACTTACTACACTATGTATGTTTTAATTTTTTTATTTGTATACTTGTAACAAAAATAAATGCTTTTAATTTATTCTTATCTATTTTATAAATTTTTGGGTTGTTCTTGAAATATATTCGGAGTATGTTTGTTTCAGACGCTGGCGAACTTTCACAAGAAGGGATACATGGGGTCACCGTAGGAGTGTCTGTTGCTGTTTGTATCTTTACGATTGCAGCCATTGTTGCAATATTCGCTGCCGCAAAATATATGTAATTATGCTTTATTGTATTGATATGTCTATATACAACTGTTATAGTAAAACAAAATTTGACAGCAGAATTTTCTGGGGGAAAGGAATTTTAATAGAATATTTACGTGTGTATTTTATAATTCAATTTGATACTACCTGACTGTGTGAAAGTAAAATAAATACGGACAATAAAGTTGAGATTTTAAACATGCTTAAATGAGATAAGTGTCGATATATCAAAAAGAAGCGTTGATGACAGTCTGCATAATTTAAACTAGCTAGCTTTTTGTTCTTGTTTGTTTTTTTTGTTTTTGTTTTTTCTTTTGTTTTTTTTTTCTTTTTTGGTTGTTATTTTTGGTTCTGTTGTTTGTTCTATTGTTTGTTTGTTTGTTTGTTTGATTGTTTGTTGTAGATTGTTGCGGATAAGGAAAAATCAAAAGGAGCAGAAAGAAAAGGAAGGTAAAAACTTGTATGATGCTGATAAATATATTGATCGGTGCATTTTTTAAGCTATCGGCATTACGAATCATCACATCGGAATCACTCCTATACTAAGTTTTATTTTTGTGTGTTCAGAAATAAGATTATGTTAGTTTTTACAATACAATCCTAGTAGTTACTGAATATTTTTCTTTAAATTTCATCATTGAACTTTTCTTTGAATAAAAACACTTTACAGTACGTTCACATACACGATTACTGTCATTTAAAAGAAGTTGAAATAGGGCATTCGAGGTATCAAACGATTCTTTAAAGCACCTTGTTATGTATGTCCGTATTTGAAATGTACTTATAGAATGCAGCAAAACATAGCTTGTCTATTTATTTTCATATTTTGTATTTGCTAAGGTACAAGTGCGTCAACGGAAATGTCAAACATCACATCTACCACGACACAAGAACAAGAAGATCCAATATACATTAATGCCACTGGCTCAATCCAAAGAGAAACATCATCTGATCACGTCTATGAAATATTAAGTAAATGACAATTTAATCTCAAAAAAAATTGTTCCCATCTGATAAATTTTACAATTTAATTTACTGAATAGTTTTAGAATTTGAATATGATAGAGGGTTGTATTGTTTGAATATCTTTTTGTATATATATATACAATTGTTTGAGTATTATTTATTAAATATGGTAGAAAGATTGTATACTTTGAATATTTTTGTGAAGGATATTATGAACAAATTTGGTTATAAAATTGGTTTTATTTTTAGGAACATGCAAGGAACTTATTTTTATTTACTTGTTTACGTTATCATCATAGACTGTGTTATCATTCTTTGTTTATTATATTTTTAAAAATATATGTATTATACATTGTTTCAGTAACTATAAACATCGATTTGGTATATTGTTTCAGAAACTATAAACATTGCTTAGGTATATTGCTTCAGGAAATATAAACATTGGTTTCAGGAAATGTTAACATTTGTGTGGTATATTGCTTCAGGAACTATTAACATTTGTATTGTATATTGATTCAGGAACGATAAACTTTGTTTTAGTTTATACAAAATTATTTTAGTTAGATTGTGTTAGAAGCTACACTCTCCAATCCGTTCCATGAACCAACAAGTACTAAGCAATGATCGTAAAGTTTCTTGCTCAAGGAAACAGCGGCCTTTCCCTGACGGGGTTTGAACCCAC